GTTAAATTGTGAAATATTACAAAAGACTTTCATTCGTGAAAGCCATTTTTCGCCAAAAATTCAATGACTTGTACAATAACAAAACGTCATCTAGTGTAACAAATTGAAAGTCAAAGCCTATTATGATGAGAATTAATTTTTATCAATATCTTCAATTTTTCGAAAAATAATGAAAACTTATGATACATCATTGAATAGGTAAAATATGGTTCTATTCAAAACAGAAAGAATTCAATGTAGCGCCTATAAGAAAAAATAAAGTTGATGATGGTGACCGGAAGACGAAACGTCGGATAGCAAAACTGAAAACACCTTTATGTAGTGGCAATGTAGAGGTGCAATTTATTTTCGAATTCTTCGAAAAATGAAGCCAGAAAAAAATTTCAAAAAATATTTTCCGAAATTTCTGTTTTTTTCGGATATACTCTGAATTTCAGAACTTTCTCAACGGCATATTGCTAGTCAGGTAAACGCCAACTTTACCTCGCTTTAACCATCTTCGTATCTCTCATAGTTTCCGAGATCCCAATGGTGAGGATCGAATTTAAAACACCCTGTATATGCAAAATAGAATCCTTAAATCCTGAATGATATTCCCAACACCTATAGATTCTGTACAATATGTCATTTTTGTAAAAAAAAATCAGCTTCTCTATACTGTTATTTATTCATGATACAATAATTTTAAGAACTCTGTAAAATGAACAATGACTCGTTTGAAGTGAAATTGTGATAACCTTTTTCCCCCGGTGTTATAGAGCAATTCTTGGAATGTCAACTCAAAAAGGTAATTCCCCCAATTTTCGATATGACAAATTTTTCAGTAGTTCCCAAATATATTCTATAAAATGTGGTTGACTGTTTCGATTAGTGTTGAGTTCAAAACATAAACATCATGAAGTTTTTCATCTTAATCAGTGCCTTATCAGCGGTGTCTAGTGCTTACCCATATATTGACAAGTGGCAACATCAGCCACCACTTCCTAAACGATACAAAAGGTAATAATAACCTGTCAACTAGTTTAGTGATCCAAAGATTTTTCTGAAGAAAGGTTGGTTAGGTAACGGGACCAATTTTTTGAACAATTGTTTTCTTGCCAACGTTTCGAATTTGATGAAATTCTTCTTCAGGGCTCGAGATGCAGTTTCTAAGTTTTAATATTACTATTTTAAAACCCATTAGACATATTAGATACACTGAAAAAAACATTGCAACAACCAAATATTCGAGACAACATCAACACAGAACAACATGAAACAAGTTTGTTTCGAAAATTGGTTTGTTCCAATGTATTTTTTTATGTATTTTATATGTATGTCTAATGGATTTTAAAATAGTAATATTAACACGAAGAAACTTCTTTTCAAACTCTGAAGAAGATAAACTGTCATGCATTCTTTTACAAATTCATAATATAACAAATTAACAGATATCACTGAAAGTTACCTAATTATACAGTATAATACTATAATACTGTCATTTAAAGTGACATTTTTAATGATTGTCAAGAGTATTAAAAGATGGTTTTTACAAAGTAGCGTGTTAACAATATATTAAGCAAAGTATTTTTGAGACGATTTTTTTCGACCAAATAGCAATAAACAAAACATAGATACAATTAAATTCTATTACAAATGTATTATATACATTAATTACATTATTATTATTATTTATGAACATCAATATGAAAAGTACAATCAGAACAACTGCTGATTTCAATACATTGCGATGTTGAAGAGCCTTGTAATATATTTGAACTATCTGAGTTAACAATTTCATGGGCATTAACATTCAATTCTTGAAGTGGAGAGAACGATGTTGTAACTCTAGAGCTAGTTGTTTAGATTATTCATTCAGCAATAGACTTTTCATGAGAAATAGATGTATCGATGTAACCCTCAGCTACTGTTATAGACTTCCATACTCAATGTTCTTAGTACCTATCCGTTATATTTGCTCCTAATTCTGCTAGCAAAGAGGCAAAAGATCTTCTGAAACAGTGACCTGTATATTCCTTTGGTTCCGGGAGGTTCAGAAACTCACCAATGGTAGAGGGGATTTTCCCAAACGTTTATACACCAACTGGGTTGGCACTACATTTATAATTTGAGTATTTCAGAATAAAACGTTGATGATTGATAAGAGAAGGGAATTATGCAACGTATTTTTTAAAATAGTCAATGTTTTTTCCAACAATGCAAAACAGTACGATATATTTTCGTTTTTGTATTTGGAACTTAACTTAACAGTCAATAATGTATCTATTAATTTAATGTCTTATATTAATAAATGGCACAGCCCTTCAACGCCGACAGGCTTCATATATTCCGAAAATAGTAGCAACTTTTATCATCATATATTTTTCATCTGGCGGAAATGTATCTATTTCAAACAGGACAGTTGTACGAAAAAATTTGTATGATATTTGTGTTGAGAGTAAGTAAGTTGAAAGTAACAAAATAGAACCTTACTTTTAACACACTTATCATTAATAGCTATTTCAGGCGTAATTACACTATTTCCAAAAATAACAGGTTCCAGATTTCTTCTTATCTCGTAATAAGGGGTAAAAAAATTGACAAAATCACTTCTTTCATCATTTACTGAATGGACACCATATCTAGGTAATAATAAGTCCGTTCTCATCAGTAGACTTGGCTCCATAGTTCGACGTGCAACGATGACGTGACATAGTGCTCACAACACTACTCCAGCACGGCTGACCGACCGAAGTTTCGTGCCCACGCGAGATACTTCTTAGTCGCGATTGTGAGTGAGGAGAAAAGGAAACCACACATACTGATGCGTTACGTTACAAAGCGGTTTACCCTACCATAAGAAGATAACATTTCCAAAAAGCTTATTGCTGCCTACATCACAATTATTATTCAAAATTTGGTAAAAGGGTATACAAATGTCTCCAACTACGTGGAAAAACCTAGTCACGCAGACACGAATTCAAGCACCATCAATCTACCAAAAGAGAAATCATCAAGAATCTAGTGGATAGTGCTTTCAGGCTCTGTCTCGAGAAGGAAATAGGCATCATCAGAAAAAATCTTCAACGAAATGGTTACTCCAAAGCGATGGTAAAACAGACTTTTGCTAGAAAGCAGCAACAGTTTCGTGAAGAAGAGAGGCCGTCACAAACAGTGCTCACCCTTTCTTATGTCAGAGGATTGTCGGAAAGTATAAGAAGAATTGGGTCCAAGTACATCAGGCCCTGCTTCGAATCCGGAAACATCATCCGTAGCAGCCTCTCGAAAACCAAGCCACTAAACGCGGACTGCGATTCCAAGAATTGCATTTACTAAGAGGCCATCGAAAGTCCGTATTGCTCAGCACAATAGAAACACACAGCAAGGAGAAACTAGCAAATCGGGAATAGCAGAGCATGTTTGGATTCATCAACATAACATCAAGTGGTCCCAAGCTGAGATCATCCACAAGGAGAAACGATGGTTTAAGATAGTGTTCAAATAAGCTGCATATATGTTGTTCATCAACACATTCAACCAAGCTAGCGTAGAGACACAGATATACGCATTATATGGAAACCTGTAATCAAACAGAAAAACTTGAATATAACTGGCCGATACTTGCTGAAAATCCATATTTAAAAAACTAATAAACAGAAAAACGGTCAACTCACACTAAACCAGTGAAGCAGAGAGAGAGAGAGAGAGGAAAGAGGGGATAGGTGAATGCACTCGAATGACCTGTAAATAGGAATATTTCGGAAGAATAGTCCAGTCATTACCCGAAGACGATTGTGAATACTAGCAATCGAAACGTCGTGAATGAACTTGTTTTGAAATTTTTTGTTTTTTTTGCTTATTGTTATCTTTATTCTTTCATTTCTTTCTCACCATGTGTTGATTTTCATATTTCATCTTGATTATTTTCTTCGTTTCGTTGTATTTTCATTTCACATTTAATTACTTATTATAATTGATATTTTAGCTACTCATTCTGATTTCATTTATTCTTTCATAGATTTCGAATCATACTAGACGATGAAAATCTGAACTATTAAAATTAACCATTAAACATTGTCAAACATTTTCAAACAAAAGTATTCAAAATGTCTATCGCCTGCTCTAATACACTTTCGACAACGAAGGTTGAAAATCTGTTTGATGCGTCGAAAAGTTCTTTCATTTTTGGTGATAACGTTGGTCGCCTGTCTATTGTTTCAACGCAGTTTCATGAAAACAAGTTCTTTGAAATGGTTCAATAAAAAATTTGAGTCGCCTCTAGGACACTCTTTTCTTTTCTCCTGCTATGTTTAAATTAAGATAAATATAAGTACAGTCATGGACAAATATCTCAGAGACTTTCAAATTAATAAAATTGATACCGTTACAGCTGAAAATATACATCAAATAAACAAACTCTTCAAATGTGAAACTCACCAAAATTTCAAATTATTTCATATGAACATTCGAAGCTTGAACAAAAATTTAGATGAATTGAAGTCGCTTTTATATCAGTGTGATCAGGATTTTGATTTTATTATTCTCTCAGAAACATGGCAAATTGAAGAAGAATAACGGGAATTGAAATAATATCGAAATTAAACAACAAACAATTATCAATTCTAGCTCTATACAGACCACCTTCAACAAATATACAATCTTTCATTGAAAAACTGGGAGAGTACCTCAAAAATTGTCCAAAAGCTGATACACAAATCGTAACTGGGGACATGAATCTAAATATCTTGGGTGATGATAATGAAGATGATAAGAATGATTATCTCAATATTTTGAGTGAGTACGATTATGCTTCCGTAATAAATGTAGCCACAAGAATACAAGGAAATTCAAAGACCTGCATAGATCATATGTTCATTGAGTATGTCAGAAATTTCATTGATATATTACCAATCGTTCTACAAACCAGTATAACGGACCACTTTGCACAAGTTGTTAGATTCAAATCATCTGAAATAAAAAATAAAGATATTAATTGAAAAATACTAGAATACATTAATGAAAATAAATTATTTGATATCATAAAAAAAAGAACATTTCTCAGAAGTGTATCTATGCAGTGACAATAATACTGCCACCAACATATTTATAGACACAATAAAAAAACATATAAAAAAAAGTACAACGAATATCAAAATAAAAAATTCTCAATTTAGGAAAATAAATTGATGGCAGATGACATCTTGAAATTAGTTAACCAGAAGTATGAACTATATGCAATAAAAATAAAATTCCCAACTGCTGAAAATATACAAAATTATAAAAAATACAGAAACAAATTGAATGATATAATGAAATAAGCAAAAAAAATACTATCAAAACGAAATTTCAAAAAATTAAGATAGCTCGTTAAGTCTATGGAAGTGTGTGAATGAAATAACAATGAAAACACAGAAAATGGAGCTATAAATAAAATAATTGATGAAAACGGTGACATTCTCACCGATAACAAACAGATGGCTAATGAATTTAATAATTTCTTTTAAAGTATAGGAAAAAAAATGGCAGAAGCAATAAAACAACATAATAATATACATCCACAGGCTCTAAATCAATCGATGAATTCATTTTTTCTAAGGGAGACAAATTATGATGAAATATATGGATACATTGATGAATTGAAAAAAACGAAAGCACCAGGTCTTGACAACGTGACTGCCGAGATTATAAAACTAATTGCCGAATACATCATCAAACCCTTGGTTTATATCATAAATTGGTCTATACAAACTGGCATATTTCCATCCGCTCTCAAGATTTCTGTAATCAAACCACTGCACAAAAATGGAAACACAGAAAATATTTCAAATTACCGTCCAATTTCCTTGATCTCTAATTTTGCAAAAAATTTCGAAATGTTACTGAAAACGCGTCTTACAAACTATTTAAAAGAAATATGGATTATTATCGGAAAAACAATTTGGCTTTAGAGAAAATAGATCCACGCAAGACGCCATAGTATACGTCACTTCCAGAATATTCAAATATGTTGACAAAGCCAAACCAACATTGGTCATATTCATAGATCTCGCTAAAGCGTTCGACACTGTCGACCATCATACATTGCTAAAGATATTGGAAAGTATTGGCATAAGAGGAAAAACATACGATCTGATAAAAAACTATCTACAAGAAAGAATTCAAAGAGTTAAGGTAAATGATGGCCTCAGTGAAGAAACAGTAATAAAATATGTTGTTCCACAGGGCACAGTCCTGGGGCATATACTTTTCAATGTTTATCTCAACGATTTGCTGAAACTTAATTTAGAAGGAGATGTGGTAAGTTACGCTGACGACACAGCAATTATATATGTAGACGAGGATTGGTAATCTTCAAAAAAAAGCTGAAAGAGACTTAAAAATAATCCAAGAGTGGTTTAAAAATCGGCTTTTAACAATGAACATCGAGGAAACACATTTCATGCCTTTCACCTCATACGAGAACTTACCAGAATATGACACCCTTCAAATAGATGGCAACCAAACAATATCAATGGCCCAACATATTAAATATTTGGGAGTATTCATAGACTGTAATTTGAAATTGGACCTCCATATCGCCTTCGTCTTGAAAAAACTAGGAAGTACATTGTCAAAGTTCAAATATCTATCGAATATTTTGAAAACTGATCAGCTTTGGATATTATATTGAACCACACTAGTTGAACCACACTTGAATTATGGAATATTAGCCTGGGGAGCGGCAACAAATAATTATACCAAACAACTGGAAAAAATACAAAAGTGGATCATCAAAATAATATCTAAGAAACCATACACTTACCCCAACAATGACTTATACCGCGAAACGAAGTTATTTGATCTTCGACAACTATATTTCCTATCAGCAGTAATGCGACAGCATACTCACAGAAATACACTGATAGCCATAAATCATAACTACAGTACACGTCACAAAATCAATTCTTCTGTTATACCAAGACCAGAAAAAAACACCCTATAAAGAAGTTATGTCTACTTGGGACCCAAATTATATAGATTGATCCCTCATGAAATGAAAGAATATGATTCCCATCATTTATTTAAAGCAAAAATTAAGGAATGGATAAGCGCCCAGTCACGCCTTCCCATCCATCAATATATTGATATAAAAAACATATATTACAATTCGTTATTAAAAAAAAAATCAAATTGAAAAAAAAATCACATAGAAATTATTGCTCTATAATATAAGTATTCTTTAATTATAAGTATTCTTTCGTTACTGTTTCCTTAGTATTTATATTTAATATATACAACATTATTCTTTCTTCATTCAAAACTTCTTCCATGATATTTTATATATGCATTACTTTTAATTTTATATTTGCAACACCATTTTTACAATTTATATATAAAACACTATTTTTTCATATTTTATATACTTTAGACTTCATATTTGAATTTTATATCAACAGCACTATTTACTACTCTTCTGATACTCTTTCCATGATATTTTATATATACAACATTATCCTTAATTTTATATTTACAGCACTATTTTTAAAATTTTATATTCACAACACTATTTCGAATTTTATTTTTACAACAATATTTTTATATTTTGAACACTTTATAATTCATATTTCAATTTCATATTTTCTTTTAATTTTCCCGATATGATTTCGAGATTCTGGATCTACGTAGACAATTTCACTGTAGTCAAGGTCCGCCTTTTGGTATTTTGTCTACTTTGACCAGATCCCCTTAGGCCAATTGAATGTATAAGCTATTACTTTTGTAAAGTTTTACTCCCACTACCAAGGCTTGCTTTGTGGGGTAGTATGTATTTATTAATATATGCCATCTACTAATGAAAATTATTTCAATTAAAGTCCAAATGTCCCCGTAGACTAATTTTCGAACCAAAATAAAAATCACACGATACAAATCAAAGGGGTATCAATTGTTTTGAATTTAATATTTGATAATACTCATCATTTGAATGGTAAAGTTTATTTTATATCCCAAAATTAAGTGAATCATTTTGACGATTATATTTATTTTAAAATACTGGAAGAATTCATCAATCATTCTTCAATATCCATGATATTGAAATGATTGCTTCAGTTTTCGAATAGTTCCTAATAATACTTTTCGGCAACGTTCCATAATTTTTCCAAAAAGAAAAGTGTTTCTTCAAAAACATTTATTTTGTACGCAATGTATACATTCACTTCATTTTGTTCTTCTTTTACAGGTCTACAAAATAGTTCACGATAGCATAAGTCTATATTTTAAGGATAGCTTACTGTTGTGAGCATTCGATGTTGTGGAACGTTGTTGAATACTCTCGAATACCCTCGATTGTTCTAGACTGTTCCATAATTTTCTTGAAGGCGGAAATTATAACCCTCATATATTTGAAAGATCGCTTTTCAGGTGAAAACAGTAACGTTTTTCATGGATAGGGGATAGAGGACTATAACTCTCTTAATCGTTCCACAATGTTATGGGATATTCCGGAATGTTTCAGAACATTCCAGAATATAACCAAACATTCCATCACATTTGAGAATGTTCCGTGGGCATTGTGAAATATTGTGGAATGCTCTCGAACACTCTCGAATATTCTGTACTATTCTAAAAGAGGGTTGAAACTTCCAGCATGTATAAAGCATGTCTTTAATATTAAAACGAGAATGTTCTTGATGAATTGAAGACAAAGAGCTACTACTCCATATAACTCCCTTGACTTTTTCACAATGATGTGGAATGTTCCGGGATTTTTCCAAACGTTTCAGACTATCTACGAACAATTCAGATCATTTTAGAATATTGCGAGATGTTTTGTAATGTTGTGGAATGTTTTTGAATACTTTCGAATATTCTGAACTTTCTTCCACCCTCATACCTCAACTAACAGCCTTTATACCTTTCGGTAAAAACGGGAAGCTACTTAATGGGCTAGTTGATGTAACAATATGAGTCACTAGACTAAACGAGAAATGGAAAACACATCTTCAAAAATTTTGTTTTGTTCAAATTGTTTCCAATTCTTACTGTTCAGCGAACTAAAGTAAAAGTGCGAAAAAATATTCAAGCCGTATAATTTTATAATTATTCAAAACATTTCCTCTTCTATTTGTGTCAAGTTTAATAAGATTATTCACCGTACAAGGCTAATCCTTAATATCTTTAATAGAAGCTCTCCTATCATATTAGTGACACTTTCCTATTAGTGACATTTATCTTTTTATAGACAATAATCAATTAATTTTCAAATTGATCCTAATTACCGAAATAACTTTGCTTGATGAAAAGGCTATTAAAAAATTAATGAAAAAGTGGATTTGCGATTTGAAAATGCATTCCATCCACAATGTATGTATGTTAGGAAGAAGAGAAAGCAACTTAATTCCAATATTGCCTTTGTTGATATCATTAAAATATAATACCCCCTTTCTTTTTATACTCCTTCAGTGTTCTCGTCTGTATAAACAAACATAATTCTTCAACTATGGAAGCAAGACGGGGAAAACAAATCGAATAGAAAGGTTGCCAAACTTCTGAACAGGTTTCCAAACAATCCAATTGCATATAATTGCAGTTTTCTCATTCATTATGTTCGCTATAAATTATCCTTGATTATTTTTGTCAAAATTTTTAATTGCAAAATCATCATTGAACCTCATTAGAAAACTTCATTGATCAATGTCTCATAATACTTTTAATTTTTTTTTTAGAATATTCAGAATTTTCTAATTAAAATTCAGACAAAGGGCAAATATTCGTTTTTGAAAAAATTTTTGAATGTACTTACGTATTTTGATGGATTACGAATCCGAAAGAAAAAAGGGACGCTCTCCCTTATTTACAAAGTTACGGCCCTTCAAAGTTCAGAAAAGGGCAACTTTTCAGCTTTCTTTTTCACAAGATAAACTATTTAAAAACACAAGCATTTATTCACTAGGTCACCTTTACACCTTATTTCTCCTTCCTTGACACTTTTCACTCCAACAATCAACATTTTTCCAATGAAAATTTTAAAACATGTACAGAACTGCTTTTTGGTTATAGATTTCTGTATTTTACGTTTTTAAGGTTAATGGCACAGTTGGTACGATTGATGCTGTCAATATTCCTAAAGTTATTCATATATTTTTTGCCTTCATTCTTAGATCGTAAATTGGTTTTTGGTGGTGTATTACGAATTTGAAATAGTAGGCGGCGGCAAATACCAACCGCTTTTTTCTGAAATGTCACTAGTAACTAACCTCAAAATAGAAGAATGTCACCAGAAGAAGCATTCGTTTCTAAATTAAATTTTTCATAAGAAAAATGTTGATTGTTGAATTGAAAAGTGCCAATTAAGGAGGAATAAGGTGTAAAGGAGACCTAGTGAATAAATGCTTGTGTTTTTGAATACTTTATCTTGTGAAAAGGCTGAAAAGTTGCCCTTTTCTGAACTTTGAAGGGTTGTAACTTTTAAATAAGGAAGTGCGCCGCTTTTTTCTTTCGGATTCCTAATCTACACATCAATATATACGTACACTCAAAAAAATTTTCAAAATCGCCGGGTGCCCTCAAAACGAATATTAACATAATTCGATTCTGGTACCATCTATAACCATGTGCATGAAGTTGGCACAGCCTCATTTCTCGTGTTAAAAGTTTGTGACACAAGAAAAGCGAATTAGTGAAAACAACAGGTTTTCTATCCATCTTACCTAAGATACCTGTATAGTGGTGTAACGGCTCATTGGTGTGAAACTTTTATATAAATCTGATAACTTGATGAAAATTAAAAAAAAAATGACACCATCTTGCGGTAACGTCACCCTACTTGGTCTTCAAAAATTTCTGAAAGTTGTTTCACTGTCTCTCAACATGTTAACTCTTCGGAACTGAAGAAAAGCCTTCTGGACGTGTATATTACCACAAAGATGTTTCAGGGCCGACGTTTCAATTACCAATAATTTGAAATATGGCATCAGAGATGGAGTACCCTACTTGGATCACAAAGTAAATCTTGCAAATTCTGGTGGGCACATCTTGGATGCTCATGCTCATGTTTCAAAGAACTTTCATGGAAATGGTCCGCTTCAAACCGGAGGAAGTTTGAACTACGGTCATCCATCCGGTATGTTAAAACATTATACGGGAGGTATCACATCGGGATTCCTTCAGTACTTTGTAGTGAAAGAGTGGAGGTATCAAAAATTATTTTTGTAACGTTGTTGAATAATAATAATAATATTGAATATTTTAAATAAGACGCATTACTTTAGTTCTATTTTATAGAATACTTCGAGAATCATGTTACGTTATCCGTAAAATTTTAGAAAAACTCCTAAAATGTAGGCATCCAGGAATACATTTCAGTTTTCTTTCATATCGCATGAGTCAGGGTTAAATATTTGAATCCATTGGCACCCGTTAAAGTGACACCCAGTATTTCAGGAACTCACCCCTCTCTCCCTGTTCAGGCCAGCTGTGAGCGTAACCCTTTACTTCACCTTGTTTACGTAACCATTTGGTATAGTTTTTTTTTGTACAATTCAAAGCTGATAAATTTATTACGTAACAATCGACATCAAATCAAAAAAGCATATTCAAACATATAAACAACAAAATGAAAAAATATTCCATTTTCATGCATAGTTCACCAGTGGCAGAAGGAAAGAAATTCTTGGACAAACAACCAAAGCTGGAATTCGAATTTACCACAATTTTGTGTAAAAATAATGCTTTCATTTTATCCATATTCAAATTTCTTAAAAAATATTTCGAAATCACTTAATTAAAATGCAGTCTACTGCGGTCTGATTTGGTTGCAATTAACATACGGAATATGTAAGTAATGATCATATCTACCCTAAATTATCCCAGACATCGTTTTTCTCTGGACAGTCGAAAAACACTGGCCAAGATTCTCTCACTTCGTTAGCTGAGGAAATGCGAAACTATAATCGAAAAACTGATGCAGTCAACATAAATTTGACAAGTGATTTTTTATTCCACGGGCACTTCTGCAACAATCCGTAAAATCCATAAAGGAGAATTTCAACCCTAAATCTTTCCAGATGAAAAATAGGTTAAACTGTGATATTTCCATAAAAATTTGTCATGTTAATGTCCAGGGTTTGTTAAATAAAAAAATATTTTTGAATACATTCGAAAAATTAAATTAAATTACAACTGTAGCCAAACAAATTCAGTGAAACTATCTGAGTACGAGTATGGAATGTTCAAAAACGAAGTGAAAAATTGGTTAAATTTATAGAGACATTGAATGACAAACTTCATTTTGTGAAGGAAATCGGAGTTTTTACCCACTTTCTTGGATTTTTTTGTGATGAATAACTTCATGTATAGGTGTAGAAAGAGCATCACGATAACTTACTGCGTAAATTCAAAGTATTTTTACAAAGAAAATATTCTATTCATCAGTTTTTTGCCGTATAAATGAAAAATCCCATTTCTACACCTACATACAATTGTCCAGTTCAGTCCTATTGTAAAACAACGATAAAAATAAAAACAACATTAAAAATTAATTAGCGCTCCGGGGCGACTTCATTGATTGCAGTGGCGCATTTGCTTTTTCAGCTGCAGGAAAACCCGGAAAAACGTGCAGCACCACATCGTCTGAAGATCTTGATCTGCCAATGTCCTCTCTCCCATAAAATAAAATGTAGGGTGTCTCCAAAGGCTCCAATAGATTCAATACATCGCCAGAACACTTTCTGACATGACTATCGTCAAACTTAAACCAGACACATTCTAAAAACCCTCAAACGAACTAATATCTAATTCAGTTTTGAGCAGTTTTGCTTCGAATTCCTTATCCTATCAGTCCAATGAAGGGGAGAATCATCCTATCCGTATTTACTCAGAAGAAAATAGTAGTGGCAAACGTAGTTGCAACAATAGATCGGTGATACATTCTTCAATCAAAACTCTTGGGTTCAATAGTTTAAAAAATCTTGAAAACACCTGTTTCATGAACAGTATAATCCAATGTTTATCAAACACGGGATGGTTGCTGGAATACCTAAAAAAGGATGCATACATGGAAAATATCAATACTAGTATTTCTAGTATGAAAGGTGTTTTAATCAAATCGTTCGCAGAAGTTATCAAGGAATTATGGTCAGAAGATTCATCTGATAGAGTAATTAACACAGTCTACTTCAAAAATCAGATTCAAAGATTTGCCCCTCGATACATGGGTTCTGCCCATCAAGACGCCCACGAATTCCTTCGATATCTTTTAGAAGGTTTACATGAGGACAAAATTACTGAGAAACCTGAACCAATCTTTACTGAGATTGACGAAAAATTGAGCGATAACGGAAAAGCACAAGAGTCCTGGCAGAGATATTTGAATATTAACAACTCCAAGATAGTAGACTATTTCGTTGGTCAATTAAAATCCACTATGAAGTGCACACACTGTGGACACTCATCAGTAATCTTTGATCCTTTCTGGGATTTGTCCCTTCCCATACCACAAAGATCTGGCCAAGTAAGTTTGTCACATTGCTTGGATTCTTTCACAAGAGAGGAAACTCTGGATGGAGATGAAAAACCAATGTGTTCGAGGTGCAAGCAAAGGAGAAAATGTACAAAGTCCTTATCAATCTATAAGTTTCCCCGTATTTTAGTATTCATTTGAAAAGATTCTCTCCGACGGAAAGGTTCAGAGGCAAATTGAATGTTTCCATTGACTTTTCTTCAGATGGATTAGATATGAGCAGTTATGCAGCAGAAAATGTGGCTCCTTTCATTATAATCTATATGCACTTTCAAATCACAGTGGGACTACTTAAAACGGACATTACACAGCATATTGCAGACACCCATATAGTGGCACATGGCATGAATACAACGATTCACACGTGTTCCCAATTTCGCCAAAATCAATTGTGAGCAATGAGGCATATGTCCTCTTTTATGAACAGGAGGGAACGAAGCAGCACCTTTGATGTGTGTTTTTTTTTTCTTCTTTCCTTTTTTTTTCCTTTTTTTTTTCTTCTTTCCTATTTTTTATAATCTTAGTTCTTTGAATTGATTTGTATTTCTAGTTGTGTCACAATTAAACATAAAAATATTAAAATTATTAAAATGGGGAATTTAATGTATTTTCAAACTGCAATAACTTCAACGTACGCATATATTGATAATTACCAGTCTTATACTCATCTACTAATATTGTCGATTATATTATCATGTTACACTTTGGCACCTTTCATTCCTCAGAACGAACGTAAAAACCTCCTGAGCACAAGATAACACTGGTGTCGTGTCAATACCGTAGAAGTGGGTTAGGTGGTAATAAGGCACTTTTAGGGCCACGTAATATCGATAGATACAGTCCGTCGCGTATTTCTGATGTGTACCGCTCTTGGTGAAATCAGATGTGCCAAGTCACTTGTACATTTCCCGTGGAAGTATCTGTAGAAGAGAGACAAATCCCTAACCTATCTTCGATGTTCCAGACTATCAATGTTGCAAGTGATGTTCGCGTCCCCAATCAGGCGGATGTCTATTTTCTGGATGGAATCCAGCAGTTTCAGGGTATGTTTGGGGGCGGAGCTCCATACATCAGAACAATACTCCAAAGAAGGTCTAATCTGAGCTTTATAAAGCATCAAAAGTTGCTTAGATGTGTACAGTTTTCTGGTTCGGAACAGTATTCCAAGCTCTTGAGAAGCAGCCTTTGTAATTCCAGCGACATAATTGTGCCAAGACATATTGGTGTCCATTTTAACCAGCGGAATTGTCTGTCCTAACATTATATCCGGTTCAGAGACATTTATCTTTTTGGAGAAAACTAATGTACATCCGCGTCGATGTCCGAGAATCCAAATGTAATGACGAGACAAGTGTGCTGTCGTCAGCAAAGCAATATATAGAATTCTTGTTTTTTTCCAATAAGTCGTTGATATACAATAAAAAAGGATTGGAGACAATATGGATCCCTGAGGAACACTATCGTTGATGGTGATGGTGAACAAGCCATAGCATCAAAGTTTGGCCAGCAAACCCTCATACCACACAAGGTCAAAGGCCTGAAAAATATCAAGCGCAACAGCACTTGACTCTCCATGTTTCTCGATAGCTTTATTCCAAATATGGGTGACATACGATAGAAGGTCGCCTGTTGATCTTTGTTTTCGGAAGCCAAATTGGTGATCGCTTAAGATTTCAAAGCCTTCCAAATATATGAGGTGTACGGCTTTCTCCATGATTTTTGATATCACTGATGGCAAAGTGAATGGTTTATAGACGCTGTCGAAAAGTAATTTCCAGTATTGTGGATTCTAGTGTGGGAATAGTGGGTGGTGCCTTTCCAAGAAAATCATCTGTGGAGTGGAACGCAAATTATTCAGCTAGTAGATTTGCTTTTTCTATAGCTGTTGTTGCAATTGAATCATCCGCTTGTGTTAATGTGTGAATAACAGCTCAGGCTACCGACCAGAAGAATTTAGACCCGTTGAAATTGACAAGCAGTTTATCCCTAATTCTCTGGTTGTGAAGTTCTTTGCTTTCATTTATCCCCAAGTTTGCAGTTATTGCGAGCATTAACAAACCTAGTTTGGTTTTCGGCACTAGGATTTTTGCGCCACTACCGATAGGCGAGATTTTCGAAGGAGACAGCTTGCTCGCAATTTTTGTTGAACCAAGGTTTGCCGTTAGAAGGTCGTTTCATTGAAAACGGAATATATGCATTCATAGATGATGGAATAACTTCAGAAGCATAAGTTGATGGATCTTTAGAGCTGAAACAAACATCTAGCCAGGGAAAATTTTGGAAATCGTCTTGAAAATCCTCCCATTCACTCAACACTGAAATGAGTTTGTGGTCAGAAGACCCCAGTGGAGACGTTTCAGTGACTATGTGAATTTCTGGATTGGTTGTTGAGTATAGATCCAGAAGACTAGCATATTCTTCATTGTAGTCAGGAATCCTGGTTGGCTCATTTATAATCTGAGAAAGTCCGCTTCTTATTGCAAAAGCCTCAGCTTCGCGACCTAGCTCGTCGTTGATATTTAAAAATTTGAACCATTCGATATTGTGGACATTGAAGTCACCGAATATGGAAATTTCGGCACTGGATACGCATATATTGATAATTACCAGTCTTATACTCATCTACTAATATTGTCGATTATATTATCATGTTACACTTTGGCACCTTTCATTCCTCAGAATGAACGTAAAAACCTCCTAAGCACAAGATAACAGTGGTGTCGTGTCAATACCGTAGAAGTGGGGTAGGTGGTAATAAGGCACTTTTAGGGCCACGTAATATCAATAGATACAGTCCGTCTCGTATTTCTGATATGTACCGCTCTTGATGGAATCAGATGTGTCAAATCACTTGTACACTTCCCGTGGAAGTATCTGTAGAAGAGAGACAAATCTCTAACCTTTCTTCGATGTTCCAGACTATCAAGGTTGCAAGTGATGTTCACGTCTCCAATCAGGCGAATGTCTCTTTTCTGGATGGAATCCAGCAGTTTCAGGGTATGTTTGGGGGCGGAGCTCCATACATGAGAACAATACTCCAAAGAAGGTCTGATCTGAGCTTGAGAAGCAGCCTATGTAATTCCAGCGATATTATTGTGCCAAGACATATTGGTTTCCATTTTAACCCCTCACAGACTTTTGGAGAAAACTGATCTACATCCGCGCCGATGTCCGGGAATCCAAATGTAATGACGAGACAAGTGTGCTGTCGTCAGCAAAGCAATATATAGGATTCTTGTTTTTTCCAATAAGTCTTTGATATACAATAAAAAAAAGGATTGGAGACAATATGGATCCCTGAGGAACACTAGCGTTGATGGTGAATGGATTCGAGAAATATCCATCGACGGCCACTTGCAGGGAACGTTCTTTCAGGAAGCTCGAAAGACATACATGAAAATGATTCAACAAGACATAGCATCAAAGTTTGGCCAGCAAACCCTCATACCACACACGGTCAAAGGCCTTAAAAATATCAAGCGCCACAGCACTTGACTCTCAATGTTTCTCGATTGTGTTATTCCAAATATGGGTGACATACGATAGAAGGTCGCCTGTTGATCTTTGTTTTCGAAAGCCAAATTGATGATCGCTCAAGATGTTGAAGCCTTCCAAATATTTAAGGATATGGTGGTTCACGGCTTCCTGCATGATTTTTTATATCACTGATGGCAAAGCGACTGGTTTATAGACGCTGTCGAAAAGTAATTTCCGGCATTGTGGATTCTAGTGTGGGAATAGTGGGTGGTGCCTTTTCAAGAAAATCAACTGTGGAGTGGGACGCAAATTGTTCAGCTAGTAGATTTGCTTTTTCTATAGCTGTTGTTGCAATTGAACCATCCGCTTGTGATAATGTGTGAATAACAGCTTAGGCTACCGACCAGAAGAATCTAGACCCGTTGAAATTGGCAAGCAGTTTATCCCTAATTCTCTGATTGTGAAGTTCTTTGCTTTCATTTATCCCAAGTTTGCAGCTATTGCGAACATTAACAAACCTAGTTTGGTTTTCGGCACTAGGATTTTTGCGCGACAGCTTGCTCGCAATATTTGATGAACCAAGGTTTGCCGTTAGAAGGTCGTTTCATTGAAAAAGGAATATATGTATCCATAGATGATAGAATAACTTTCGTGACTTCAGAAGCACAAGTTGATGGATCTTTAGAGCTGAAACAAACATCTAGCCAGGGAAAATTTCGGAAATCATCTTGAAAATCCTCCCATGCAGCTCATATGTAATGCCAAACTTTGCCCGGCTTGGATTTTTCCTCAACATTTATCGGTAATTCACTCAACACTGAAATGAGTTTGTGGTCATAAGACCCCAGTGGAGACTTTTCAGTGATTATGTGAATTTCTGGATTGGTTGTTGAGTATAGATCCAGAAGACTAGCATATTCTTCATTGCAGTCAGGAATCCTGGTTGGCTCATTTATAATCTGAGAAAGTCCGCTTCTTATTGCAAAAGCCTCAGCTTCGCGACCTTGCTCGTCGTTGATATTTAAAAATTTGAACCATTCGATATTGTGGACATTGAAGTCACCGAATATGGAAATTTCGGCACTGGAATGATTGATTTGCAGAAAGACAATAGTGTTTGCGAGTGAAAAGAATAGTGCCCTATATTGTGTATCGCTAGTTGGTCGATAAACTCAGCATATGTATTTGGTGATCTTCTGTGATATTATTTTGAATCACATAATATCAAAGTTTATGGGTTCCAACATTTCCTCTCATTGATAGGACAGATCGCTTCTTATAAAAAGAAATACTCCAAAGTTACGTCTGAATCGGAAGGGAAATCATATCCAGGATATAGGAAACTGACGGGGTTTGTTGAAGCACTGACTTTGGTTTCTGTAAGTGCAGGAATATGAGGACTATTTGATAGCATTGAGTTTATATTTGAGTTGAGTCCTCTGATGCTGCAGAAATCGATTTTGAAGTTACTAGTGGGTCTCTTAGCAACTGCAGTTATCATGCTAAATGCTATTTCCCTATGAAATGATGTTAGGACCCTGCTGACTATCAGAAATAGTGGCAGGATGATGCCGTTAAATCAACCTCCACCCGGAGATCCTATTGGGGAGCTATTTTACCTCCGGAGTATTTTGACCCTAATAGCGCCATTATGCCTCTTCCTTATATCCCCACCCTTGAAATCGAAAACAACGACACAGCAACGAAACGTTAACCCGAAAGCAACTTCACGCTGTCCAAGCCGTTGCGATGATATCTCACCGGGCAATGCCAGGTGGGATGAGCATCTACCATCTATTCCTGTTATGCGACTACGGCATACCATCCTGGTAAGCCATGATGAACCACTCAATTTTCGACTTCAGTCCTCTCGATCTGAAGAAAGCTAAGTTCAGGTGCTTTGATAATCCGAGGACTGCGGTGTTGTTGAAGAGGGTTCACGCATTGCCTTATCCTTGTGAGATCTCTGGGGCTTTCATGTTGCTGAATTGGTTCCAACTCGGTGACAGAGTTGTACTTGTCTTGTCCAGTGTCGAAAACTAAACAAAATCTTACAGAAATAATGCTGATACCTGCCGAAGAACGTGTTTCGTCTTCATTTTCTACTTGTAGCAGAAAAAGAAGCTGTATAAAAGTATGTATTTTATTTCGTATCTCATTAAGGCCGCATGTGTATTCTTTTCTCGGCCCAACTATATCTCCATTAGATCACTTCAATGGGAGTACATAATAGATATCAAAATACGTTCGAAGACTGTATCGAGGAGAGATACAAACATATATGAAATTAAATATTTCGAAATACAATCTCGAAACATTCATCAATCCCAACGTACCTATAAAGTAGGTTCTGGTAAATACCTGCCGGAAAACAAATATTTCCCCGGCTGATACCACGTTGGACATTGAATAATATCTGCCCTACATTTGTGCAAGATACCTCACTGAGACTAATTTCGCAGATGTGTCTTGGTCATCCAGCAGCAGGACCATGCTTAAATCAGTCGAGTACATCACCTACAGAACGGTTTCTAGGTACCTCGAAACACAACAATAAATCACACTTGGAAAACGTGATGGAATTCCATGGCACTTTGACCAGAAAGTACTCAGTAGAATGTTCATATTATATCCATTCGAATCTTATTTTCAGTAAATAAATGAAGATGTTTCAAAGTCTATCTAGAAAAATTGAGTGTCGATAAAGTTTTCAATATATGATAATACTTCGAATGTATTGCATGCAATCGCTGAAGAGGGTGTCTAGTGGAAAAAATGGTACTTTGAGGACCATATCGGTCCGATGAAACGGCATTTTGAAAAAACATTGTTTTCACACATCTTTGAATTTTTATAAAATATTTTCGCTTTCTCTATTTATTTAAATTGAACATTGGTATATGTAAATTTATCTTCATCAATCGACTATCTTCTTCAGTTTCGGCGATCTCAGTAGTGATCATCGAAAAAGTGGCCACCCCATACATACCCCATACATACATTTCAAAGGAATTCGATTATGGCAAACCGAGTGGTATGACCCACTATATTAGCAAATTATTTGAAAATTCTGATTGTATCCAACCTAAAAATATAATGGAACCACTCGGTGTGACACATACACTGTCATTATAAAATTTCTTTCGTGGTCATGACAAAGCTTAATTGTTGAGGTTCATTTGTTCGATTTGAAGAAAAGATATTATCTTGTAAAATCAAATTTTCATTATTAAATTTCAATAATGAAGAGTATCGAAGAGTTGATGAGTTGAATTTAGAACAAAAAGACTGTATCTCGACGCGCATTTCGCAAACCAAATCAGCATCATCAGGAAATGTAGAACTCTTTCTGACATCTCCCGATGATGCTAACTTGGTTAGCGAAACGGGCGTCGAGAGACAGTATGTTTGTTCTGGCGAGAAAAAGTGTGTTTAATTGTACCAAAGAGGTCTAATAAAAATGTGATTTTCAGGAGGTGGATTTGAAATAAGCGGTTCAAAAATCCCAGGGGGAGGTTCAAATATTGGTGCAGCTGGTGTATACAATCTTTACCGAAATGGAGGATTTGGAGTTGATTTTAAAGGAGGATATAATCAAAACTTTGGCGGACCTAGAGGAAATGGTCCGCCCATTGTTGATGTAGAAATTAAAGGAGGATATGCTTTTCCATCGGGAAGATAACTATTTTTCATTGTAAAATCATTAATAATTTCCATTTGTCATTGTATATTCATTTAGAAATGAAATTTATTTCATAGAAGTTTCGTGGAATTTGCCTCTATTTTTTTAATATACTTTTTTTTAAAACAATCATGACATGTCTTTTTCACTTCGCCAGCTATCTTTCTAAAACGTCATCAATGGCATTGACTGAAAGCTCAAAAGCACGAGTAACAATAAACATTGCATCAAAGATAAACAAAGATTCCACTGGCGGTCCATTGCATAGTCAAAAGCTAACTGTCTGTCTCTTTAGTTTTCACCCTAAGCAGACAACTAAATGAAATCAATTTTTAGGTGGAGTGAAGGGACAAAAATTAGCAGTTTCTTCAGCCGTATCAGTACATTTCAGAAATTTTAAACTTTGAAATACCGTATATGTACACACCACACGCGTTAAAACATAACTGACCACTCCGACACTGTAACATAAATTCCGCCAGCCGATTGCAGTCAAATCTTATTGGCCAGCGAAAGTTGAATTGTTTATTTTACCGAATAGATGCAAATGTGCATGTTGACCATTCTTTGATCACGTATCTATATTTGTTTGGGTTACTTCGTTTTTTGGATGGATATAGTTTAGTTGCTCTATATAAATTTTCGAAGTTGTAAGAAAATATTCAGTATAACCTTCTTTTACTTCCCCTTCTTTCACAAGATTGGTTATATTAAAAATGAATAAATGAACAATTTTACTTTTCAAAACTGCTTTCATTTCGATTCACATACAGATTTTTTGAAGGATATGTTTGCTAGAGTTCATACCGGGTAGTTCAAACATTGGAGAGATTCATATTAATAATAAGTATTCATTTTGTAATAAAATAAAAAATTGCACACAGAAGGAGCAAGTACTTTCAAATTGATATCAATCATGCTCAAAAAACAGATAAAAACATAAAATACAAACAAACTGATACGATTAAAATTTGCTTGAAGTCAGCTTTGAAGCTTTGAGATAAAATACGATACTCTGCAGAAAGGTATCAAGTAAAGAAAGGATGCCTCGAAAAATGGAGAACGATGAACAGGAACAGAAAATTTATGATTTATGTTTCTCAGTGATCTGTTATGAATGTACTCCCTTCGAACTATTCTTGGGGTAAGGTACTTGGGTAGTCCAGTGGCCAAAATCTTGTCGACAAGACAAGCGTAGTGAACAAAACGTGTTTCATCCAATTTCAAAAGTTGCAATTTTTGCATTTTTTACAACCTTTCAAGCCTTTTATGTGATAAACACGGTTCATAAATTATGTCAGCATAGTTACTATGCTGACACAGTACGAGAGAGTAAATATTTTTTCAAAGGTAGTGTCCAGATCCTGTTTGAAGAGAATAGTTTTTCAAGGCGTATATACGAGAAGGTTATCTTTATGACAACACCTAATCCACTGACGATACGCTATAAAAACACAGTATTGTCTATTTTCGACGATAGTTTTATATTTGTTGAGTAGTTTCGGTCATTACACCATTTTCAAAACTAACTAGATTACATTCAAATATGAGTATTCATACCTACATTGCCTATACCTATCATGAATAATTTGATAACTACATTGTCTTTACCTGGGATAACCTCAATTGATAGCAGTATACCGAAGAACATAACAAAAATTTTTTATAAAACGTAGGTTTTGGGTACAGGGTTATAGGTTTAGAAGAGGACTTTTGTCCTCATTAAATTATCTTTCAAATTTCATTTGAAAGGAAGCAGATTATTTAATTCCAAACCTAAATTAGACAAAGGGAAAAGATCTGGTATATATCGAATAGAATGTGATGAATGCTCCGCCATATATATACAGGCCAAACTGGGAGAAATTTTGATATAAGGTAACATGAACATGTCATTTCGGATAAAAAATCAATGTATGAAAATCTTCAAAATTCGAAACGTAAAATAGATAAAGATAATTCAAAAATTCTCCACACATGCGAAAATGGGAGAATGATGATTTTGTTGGAATCTATGGAAATAAACAAGTCAAAGAAAAATTCCAATTGTAGTATCCTCAACGAACAACTTGATCTAAGCAATAGTCCTCTCCTGAACCTATAACCCAGTTCCCAAAACCTACATTTTCATCAAAATCGATATACATATACTTTTGTAGAGAGCTTTTCAGGAATGTATTTGACAATTGATGTCTTCCACCGCTGGGGAATACAATCTGTTTCAAATGATGAATTTATTATATGCGTAAGGGACGAAGGCAATCTTTAATCGACATTTGAAACATTCCAAGAGAGATTTCATAATGGTTTCATTCAACACCCAATATCTCTTTCTGGATCAAAAGGAATATTATCCAAGAATAACACTTCCATCTCTTATTCACAACTTTAATCGAGTGGTGCTTTTTCCATGCATGGCTGGTCACTTTCTTCACAGTTTTTCTAAAAAGGTCATACTGGAATAGTTTTTACTGTAAGCTTTTAGAAAATGTAGGATTTGATTATTAGATGTCTATCAAAAGTATGGAAAATTCATTGAACCAAAGGAATAACAATGTTTTCATTAAATGCCGGAAAAACAGGAAATGTTCAAATAATCTTTCAATCCGAGCGATGCGTAATCAAGTTCATCTTCAATTTGTTTTCCAAACACAATTAAGGTTTTTTCATTCCATTCAATCCAGTAGTGGCATAATCATGTAGCTGAAATTGCAAAGGGCTCAAAACATTGTTCCGAACCGGAAGAACTGTACACACCTCAGCAACTTTTGATGTTTTATAAAGCTCAGATCAGACCTTCTTTGGAGAATTGTTTTCATATATGGAGCTCCGCCCCTAAGCATACCCTGAAGCTGCTGGATTCCATCCAGAAATGAGCCATCCGCCTGATTGGAAAGGCGAACATCATTTGCAACCTTGATAGTCTGGAACATCGAAGAGAGGTTGGGAATTTGACTCTCTTCTATCGATACTTCCACGATAAGTATTCAGATGACTCGGCACGTTTGATTTCACCAAAAGCGGTACATATCAGAAATACGCGACAGACTGTGGCTGCTCATCGTTTTCAAGTTCAACTCAGTACACCTTGAACTTCACTGTTTGAGAACTGTTTCATTTGGAGAACTGGGTTTATGTGGAATAAACTTCCTGAGGACGTTTTTAATCTCCAGCGATTCAAATTCAATGTGAATCGCTACTTCCGCACAGGCACCCCTCTGATATAAATCTCACAATAATTTCCAAACCACACGATATAAACCCAAAAAACTTTATATTCTTAGGAAATCTTTTGATAAAAATTATTCAAGTGAAAAGATAAAGTGTATTCCACATGAAAAACCATAATTTGTAAATTACAACTTTATTTAGCTATCCTACACCCACACATCGTTGATACACCCTGTTATCTACATAAAAAAAGGAAAGTTTTTGAAACAACTAGGACAACAACAATAAAGTTGATGCAGTATTCAATAAGAAAAAGAAAGAATTCCAACACGTGAAAGCTAGAAAAAGTCAAGGCTAGATATTCTTTTACTCAGTGGCAGGGCACTAGAAGTTAAAAACAAGGAAAAATCGATAAATGCGTTGTTACGAAAAATAAAGCAAAGTAACAAACAAGTGAACAAATTATTAAAAAAATATTTTTTTACTGATAATAAGAAAAAATATCTACCTTATCGGCTAACACACTATAAGAACATTGAGTCACTAAAAATCGTTTTAATTTGTACATGAGGTTTATTAGTTCCAGAATAATCGGGTAACCTCTACTTTTAATCCATCTGTTCAAGAAAAACTGGATCAACTTGAAAGAACTATATCATGTATGTCGAAAAGTGTTACAATATATTCACTTTAATGAAAAGAATAAAAACACTTTTGTCTAATTACCTCTAGTTGATTTTATTTACACGACCGATTTCGGGTTCAACCCCATTATCAAGTGAAAAACTAAAATGTGAAATTTGAAAACTCGGTTATATCGGTAGTTTCTAGATAAGATGGAAGAACAGGTAGTAGAACGAACCAGGGTGCCAACTTTAAAATTCGACACTGAAGATCATAGGGGTTGTTTAACTTATAAATTCAATAGTGGAGACCTACATAAATCGAGTTGCTCGTTTAGGAGTATATATTTCTGGTTTTTATTTGATTTGTTAATTTCCATGGTCCAAAGTCATTTTCTTCCTTTTATTACATATTTGTAGGATTTTAAGGTTATCTTTACTTATCATGTGTTTTGATTCTTGAAAATGTTGATACATTATTTTGTAGATTTTTTGTCCAAACAGACGTGTACACGGAGCCTTACGTCAAAATTTCTACCGACTGGGCCTGTATATACTGCAGAGCATTCGCCATTCTATATATAACTGATTTTTTCATCCTACCTCATTTGGGTTTTGCATAGAAGAGTTCTGCCTAAATTATTACTACTTATGAAAGCTGTTATTATTTTGCATTATATATATTCAGGTTCAATTCGAAATATAATTTTGTTTGACCTCCTAGAACGTTATTTAAAAAATCCTTATTAGGGAATAAATAGGTTTCAACTATAAAACAAATTAAAAAAATGTCAAATTCTCAACAGTTTTAGATACGTCTTGTCCAAACAATATTAAAACTATTTTCTTCTTGGAAACATTTTTCTGACATGAAAATCAATAAAAGGTCAAACTCGGATTACAATATTATAAAATATTATAGTAATGGTAGGAATAGATTAGGTTATCAAATATGTCAAAGTTTTCGAAAAGTTTTGTATTTTATATCCAGTTGGATAAAATATTTGTAGTTGTTTGAAAAGTTTTGTCCGTCAGCATAAATTGGCGAAGGTTCTACCGGTGAGAAAGTTATCAAAGTGCTTGTAAAGATGGTAATCGGTTGGCGAGAGATCTGAGGATAATGATGGGTGTGGCATGAATTCGACGCTCAATTTTCGGACGGTGATTTGTAAAACGTGCGGACGGGCGTTGTCACAGGACAGAATCGGACCTCTTCTTTCGACCAGTGTCGGCTGCTGCTGACGCAATTTTTAGTAAATCTTGCTGTGATGGTTTGGCCGTTGCATAAAGTTATAGTGAATCACACCAGCCGCTGACAACCCATGTTTTTTTGTT